TTTTTACAATTTTGATATAATTAAGTGGGTTGCTCAGCTAAAGGCATGTTTCACAGTCTCCATACTCCAGTTAATGATTAATCGATTACAAAATTAGTTGACGATTATTTCAATAATTGTTTAATCATGATTAACCCAATCAATTGTTTTAGCCCTAATTCAAACCAACTTGTACCAGTTAAACCTGTGCAGAGAATCACTGGTTTAAAGCTGCCAAAACACACAGTGGCTAAGGATCCACAGGTCAGCAACACTGAATAAAATCTTTTTAGATTTGCTGATTGCATTGCTCAAGAATCACTATCTGACTATGTTTTAAAAACAGAAACTAATTAACTTTGAGTTAAAAAAATCTTTATATGTTCACAAACTTTCATCTTTTTTTTTTTTTTGTGTCATTACACTGTCACAACTACAGAGCAACGAAATGAACTCTGCATTTAACCCATCCCATTGGGTAGCAGCGGGCTGCCATTTTGCGGCGCCCAGGGAGCAGTGAGGGTTTAAGGGTCTTGCTTAGGGACCCAGAGCGGCAGTCTGTGGGAGTGGGGCTTGAACTCAGAACCTCTGGATTCCAAGCTCTATGCCCTAACCACTAGGCCACCACTAGGCCAGCACTCCCCCAAATGAATGAACATAAAGTGAAAAATGCGAGTCAGGCCAATCCTACCGTGTGATACAGGCCTGTTAACAAAACATAAAACCCATGTTAGATGGCAAAAACCACAAACAAGCAGGCAAAGGTAAACTGATGGGGGATGATCTTAACTGGAAGCAAGGCCCACAAATGTATTGCTTCAACGTTGATTTACATGGTAGCATCAGGCTTAGCCGCTGCATCAATTCTTACTTTACTCACCAGATTAGTTCACTTCTTTAGTCTTTTGTGATGTCATCAGCCCAAATATGCAGTTAAAAAAATACATGAATGTATAATGTCTTTAATAGATTTAAAAAATAAAAATAAAAACGTTAAAACATTTGCTAAACAGATTTTTCAAGAGTTTAAACATTCAAATTACAGCTATGTATCAGACTTGAATCGTGTTACCAAGAAGATGAGGTTTTATGTTAATGATATTTCGCTTAGAGCAATGGGCCAGTCATTGTTCTCTCTGTATCCGTGTGTCTTGGAGATAAACTGGTGCAATGTTTACCCAGTGGGCGTCAGCTGGTTACCTCTGTGTTCAGATAACAGGTGAGGCGATGGTCTGCAGGGGCGGAGCTAGATGGTGGCCAGAGGTGGCCATGGCCATCCTTAGGCAATCAGTGGCCACCCCTGTGCCACCTCTACCATTGTTTTCCCTCTAATACAGGTGGTATCAGCAGTAATACTCTCAAGTGGAATATTCAAAACATTTTAATTTTTCATTTATGAATAAAACACTGTGGTTAATTATGCACATCAATATACTAACACTAAAGATGATATATACAGAATTTATGCTCTTTTCAGAACAAGATTTTGTGTCATATGGGCTAAAGAGAAAATTATGTTTCTCTGCAAGTCATCTAAGAGTCTTCAGTAAAATCATAAATAACTATTTTAATAAAAACATATTAAATAATCCATTTCTGTAGATATTAGTACTTTTAAATATCAATTTTATGCAGAATGATTATTGATAAAAGTTGATAAGTAATGACAATGGAAAAGTTGTTCAATCCAGAAGTCAAACCTGAAAGAATCATATCCACTATACCTTTTATTTAGAAAGCAGGGGTGTTTAAATATATGCGTCTAATTGTTAGCAAAGGTTGTCGGAAAGTATAGTTCAAAATATGGATTTGTGGCTGTTCATTTTCCTGTTGGAACATTGTAGATTGACCCTGAGGTTCTCGCGCCTATCCACATCCAACCACCCCTCAATGTACAATGGTTATTGCTTGGCCACCCTTATAAAGATTATTTGGCTATGCCTCTGATGATCTGCCAAAAACAAATGTCTTCAATGTTCCTTAGGGAAATTTGCTACTCCTTCTTAAACTAAAATGTGTTTATTAATGTTATGCTGTTTATCTCCCCTAACCTAACAAACGCCAAGCTTTTATTAGTGTTTAGTTCATTAAAGGCTACTAAAGCTTTTAACAGACCAGGTATTGGCGTTGGTCCAGTTTTAACTCGCAGAAATAGCGCTGATCAGTACGGAAGAGGATTAGGGCCACTGAAAAAATAAAAAAGAGGTAACTGCTTTTTAAATTCTATTTCCGTATAATATGGGTAAAAAGTCAGAATTCTGACTTTTTTCTCAGAATTCTGACTTTAATCTCAGAATTCTGAGTTCTTTCTAAGAATTCTGACTTTTTTCTCAGAATTCTTACTTTTTTCTCAGAATTTACTTTTTTCTCAGAATTCTTACTTTTTCCTCAAAATTCTGACTTTTCATCTCAGAATTATGACTTTTTTTTCTCAGAATTCGGACTTTTTCCTCTTCCATAGATCAAGCTTTTGTAAAGTGGACCATTACTTTGTGGAACAATTCCCCCGGAACCAAAACATGCGCAGGGACAGTAAGCATGCAGGGTATTAGAAAACGCACGTACACACTTTGCTTTACCATCTTCAGGGAGATTTTATTTAATTTTATTTGGCCAATCAGCTGGAAAAAGTCTGCAAACGTCTCATCATCGAATAACTGACAACTTATAGTAGAGCCCGAAATAGCCGCACAATCCCGTTGCGCAATTCCCCAGAGCGCAAAACGGCAGGACACCATTCTTACTGACAGCCGCAGACACAAACAGCCAGAAGTTACTCAGTTTACCTGAAGTAGTTCGCTTCCCAAGGACGACAGGAGCAGAGTCAACAGAAGGCGTCCCAGACCCCCCATGACCCCTAAAAAGCCCAGGTTCTCGGTGCTCCGTCACAAACACACACAAAGCTGTTAAACTAGCGACAGAGGTCTTACTCTCTCTTCATATCATATCTTCATTTCGAACCTTTAAAGTCTCTAACGAAAGAGGGGAAAAATAAAAGTGCCGCTTTAAATCCATGACAACTTCCTTTCCTGTCACTTGTCCAACATTTCCGTGTTGGGACGGAACCTGGAACGTCACAACCGAGCTGTCAAGACTGAAGGAGAAGTGGGAGGAGCCTAACACGCGAAACAAATGTACAGCTGGCTTGACCAATCAGAAACGGCGTTGAGAACAGCGAGGGAGGGGCTATGGAAACAGCTGGAACACGTGGAGATAGACAACAGGACAAGTGTAAACGCAACAAGAACGAGTTTTTGTGCAATAGAAAAGGGTAGAAGGATTACTTGTTCTCTATTTTACACATCCAATAGACACACATATACAGCAGTGATAGAAAGGGCTTTTTACATTAGAGATGAAGAGTTTGGTGGTTCTTTCTTCGTTTTTCTTAACTTTCTATTTCCAGAAGAGGACTGCAGTTTGTAGCACTGTTGTCTTGCATAATGAACTGAAGGTCCTGTGTTTGATCTTTCAGGATGGAGTTTGCATGCTGTCTCTCTACATTTCATGGGTTCTACAGTAGTCCAGGTTCCTCCACTCTAAAATAGAAAAGGACTGTCAGGATAACTGGCCCCTGTGATAGACTGGGAACCTGTCCAAGGTCTTACTTCTCAGTTCTGTGTTTCTCCATAACTTTAGGATTAGGGAGTTCTGTCTTGCAAAATGATTCTTTTCTACAGATGTTTCTCGACATAAATCCCAGCTGGGATATAAGACAAAATCCATAATAACAAAATCCACACCCAGATTTTTCAGTGGAAATACTCAACTGGTCTGTTTTTTGTTTTTTTTAATACTTGTTTTCTGCTTTCCTTATTCATAAAAAAATAGCTTAAAGTCTGCTTCATTACACTTTATGTAACATAATTTTATTGACAGATGTAATTAACATTTGATCTATTCAGTGTGGACTTAAATATGATTGAGCTGTATGTCATGACCTTAAACACTGAGTGCAGAAAACCCTCCAATGCCCTATGATGATCATAATAATAATAAAAAAATCTCCAAGGAGTGGGGGTGGGGAATCCCTCTAATAGGATTGTAGGCTCCTCTCCTATCGGATATACTTGGGGCAGCCAGATGTTTAATATAAGACCTGGTTCATCCAGATAAAATTTCCCCATTTAGATAGAATAGAAATTCACTTTGATTTAATTAATAAATAAAAGAATCATTCAAAAGCTGCATTTTGTATTAATAAATTAGTCGATCTTAAACATTTGACTGTGATTGAGAACAATAACAGTGATACTTCAAAGCACCTTACATGGTTTGTTTCCAACTGAAAACTTAAATTTTTGTCTCTTTTTTAAACAAACTTTTCTATTTAAGTAGATTTATTTCTAAATGCTATCCTTAAAGCCATGCCCCCTAAGTTTTGAAACCTTTGTCAGGCCTGTCAGTTTAGGTGGAACGCTATAAAATATGTATATATTTTAAATATTTGCTGCAATCACACTAAAATGGATTTATACCACCCAGTTACAATTGAGTGCAATAGTGTTTACAATTGGATATCCACTTTTCTCTTAGATTTAATAAGAATTTATGCAGCTTTTCTTTTTCTACCAATTTCTAGCAAGAATTCCTCCTTATGAGATGCTTGACCTTCCTCAGCCGGCTCTTTTTGATGACATTGGTGAGGCAACTTGGCCCTAAACTCCTCCAAGATAGAAGGTCATGCTCAAAGTACTCATTCAATACATCTCAAATAACAAAAAGATACTGACACAACCTAAATTAATATCTCAATAAAAGACAAATGATTTGATAAATTTGTATATTGCTTAGAATGAAAAAAAATGTTTGTCACGTAATACAATAAGTTACTAATATGGGCTCTCTCTTCATTTTCTTGTAGCATATTCCCCTTTAATACCACCTGATCTTCAGAAGCCTTACTAAAAATAGAGTACTATTCAGAAAATACTCTTCAAAGTGCCTCTACACGGGGAAAACACACAGAGTTGATGATGAAATTATGTTATAAAAGCAAAATAAAATAACACTGATAGGCACATTTGAGGTAAGCTCAGAAACTGAGACAAACAGCATCACAGACTGGTGCAAAAGTGGCAGCATGTGACTGTGTACAGGTAGGCAACATGTGGGTGTCCAAACAGGGCATGGCTCACGCTGTTTAGCTCCATGCAGTCTGCTACTGATGGAGCACGCTGTCTGGTACTGGGTAGCCGAAAAGCTTAAAGTCCGGTTCATATAGTTTATAAAGCTCTCTCCTCTCTGAAACGGGGATCTGTGCAAACCAGTCCCTTTCCCAGCTTGATGCCGTACGATTTCTAGGCCCTGAAGGGAACCGCACCAGGTGATCCACTTTCAGCAGCTTCAGCAGTTGCTCTGAGTCTGTTTCCAAGGTTTCTAGTCGTCCGATAAAGTCATATTTCACCTGACAAGGATGACACAAACGGTACACCTGCAAAACAGAGAAATCAACGGTAGTGGCGATCAGGGAAGCAGATAAACATGATAACAAATCCCTTTTATTTCTGATAGCTTTGAGTAGGGTCTCTTCATCAGTGCTGTCACACTCTGAAGCTGTGTGGTAACTTTTACATTTTTCATTTTCAAAATGAGTTGCACATTTAATATATTTTCATTAGCCTGACTTTAAGTTAGCTTTTTGCAGTGCACACATTTAGTTAGCTTTATTTGTCAGGTTGTTTTTTTGTCAAGATCCAATTGATGAATTTCTTTTTTCTTTGAGTTGCCAGTTTCCTTGGGATCTGCTGGTGGAGGGCTGCAATGGGCTCTAGCTTTCCTCAATTGTTGCAGGCTAATCAGCAGGTCAAACCATTTGTAATGGGAAGGGACATTTGTTTATAATTTGTTTAAATTCTTAGTTTGGGTAATTTTGTTAATTGTTTAAATTTAAAAAAATATTTAGTGTCTGGCCAGTTTATCTGTTTAATTAAGTTTATTTGTTTATTAGTTTGTAAGTCAGTTATCCCCCTTGTGTGCCAACAGTGGTCTGATCTGCCACTATTTAAGTTTCCTTCATGTCCTGTTTGTTAGGTCAGTTTGTTTTTCAGTTCTTTATGTTAAAGTCTGAATTGAATTCTGTTTTGTTGAATTCTGTATTGTTGACCTCTGTTTTTGGGCCCAATTTATCATTTTTTGAACATTTTGGGAATAAATGAAGACTTTTTTTGAAACATTTCAGTGGTTTTCTGGCTGGTTTGTGCAAATCCCTCACAGTCAGAATACTTTAAGAGTTTGACCTTAAACAAAAAACTCAAAGGTGTTGAACCGTTTCACAAACTGCCGTTTCGAAGTAGAGGAACAATACTTCTCTGATACAAAAAAATACTTTCGAGGCACCTGCTTCTAAGAGATTCAAGGATTTTTTTTATTTCTTTGCAGGAGTTACCATTGTTATAGTATTGAATTGTCAAAATGATGTGGGGCTATACCATTACCTTATAATTTACCATATATTAAAAAGATACTGCTGGGTAGGAAAATGGTTCTGGTTTGTGGCTGACTTTCCCCCAGTGACCAAAAACTTGTTTCATATGCAGAATCTTGGCTTCAAACGCACAAACAACCATAAACCAGGGAAAGAGGAGACAAGAGTTCCTTCCACTGTTATGACAGATAACTCCAGCTTTTAGTCAACAGCCAGACCATGGAGGTAGATGTCAGTTTTAAATTGAAAATATTTCAGATAGTAAAATGCTTAACTTTGTTTTAATCACTGTGGTTATAACCTTGTAGTTATCATTTTTTGACAAAAATGGGAACTTTTTCTATTGTTCTTCAAGCTTTTATACACACTTTTTATTTTGAAGTAGCAGACGGCCATTTTCATTTGAGTCTCTGAGCTAAATAACAGTCATTTTAATATATCCCCAATGAAAACTAGCATAGGATTAGCTTAAAGTGGGATTCCTTAAGGTTTAAACATGTTCAGAGAAAGCTAACTGCAAGTGGATTTAATGTTAGAGCAGAATAGCAGACAGAGTCCTCAAAAACACTGTGATAAGAAACACTGCAGTACATTTTTATGATTATATTTACTTCTCTGCAGCTGTATTTTCCAGATTGCCTGCAAAATGTACTCATGAAGTTTTCATTTCTAGATTTGCGGTGTAAGGTTATTGTTCTAAGACCTTTCTCCTGACATCCTCGCTACCACTAAAAAAAAAAAAAAAAATCGGTGTAATTTTTACTTCATAAAGTCACTTGTTCTCTTTATGCTTGTTTTTGGTTGGCCTTTTCCTTTTATTCATTCTTTCTTTCATGTTTTCTGACATATTCCTCGACTTTAAAAATCAGCTAAAACCATAATCACACTTAAAAAGGCTATAAAGATTAACCTGTGCTTAAGTTCCTCATCCTTTAAAACTGGCATCTTCCAACAGACGCCTAAAGACGTTTTTTATTTTTAAATAATATGCATCCCTTAGATGTAGAGAATGATAAATGTCTGCACACTTAAGTCCCCTTTATGTCAGCATCAGTGCACTAAAACAGAATTCACATATAATAATACAAAAATCAATGTTTTCTTTAAGAAGAAAATGACACTGAAGAAACAACCACATTGTGAAAAATATATTTTATAATAGTTTATCCTGGATATGTTGCCATGAATATCATACTGAGCAGTACCTGCCGCCAGTGCTCGTTAAAGATGCTCTCCTTCTCCGTTTGTGGATCCAGGAGGTATGTGATGAACTGATGAAACGTTGGTTTGAGTCCTGCTGCGAACGCCTCGGCAGCTGTCTCTGCTAAGCTCCCAGACACATTGCCATAGCGACGTAGCATGACTGAACCAAACTGTCGGAAAAAGTCCTCGTTGGGCCTTAATAAACACAAACATACACTGATACATGTGCTTCAGTGGTTCATTAAATGAGTGTCAGGGTTATGGTTACATGGACATTAGGTACACACCTCCCAAACTTGTTCCTGAACGCAGAGATAAGGCGCACAAAGGGGTCTCGCACGAACAGAAACTTGGTGTAGCGCTGAAGCTTGAGCGCCATCAGGTGGTGGGAAAGGGAACCGTAACGACGCCAAAACCTAGACACACACAGAGCACAAGAAATAATTCATTTTCCTCTTCTTTTGATTTCAAAACTTAAGCAGCTGAAAAACTTAGAAGATGAGAGGAGTCATCTGGGAAACCATGTTAGATCAGTCCTGAAGAGGAAAAAGTTATCTTTTATTAGAAAAAAAAAAGAAAATCAGATGCACAGCTCCTGAGAAAAGGTAAAGAGAAGTGCTTGTGTGCTGCAGCACCAAGTCAAGCCTCGTTTTTTTCCACTCTCTCTTCCAAGCTCAGCTCACTAAATGCCTCTTTTAACGTGCAGATAGTCTGTCAACAGCAGCTTTAGCAAACATTTTGATTAAGGCAACAAGCAGTGAGGAAAAATTAAACCCTGCCTGACAGAATGCTTTCATTTACTTCCCTTAATCTTACATTTCAAGTAATGTTTAAACACGGACAGCCTGGTTCACAAATCCAAACTATATTAAACATATTTTATTATTCTGCTCATTGCAGGATAATTTACTGATCCTTGTTTTGTGAAAGTATTTAAACAGTTATAAAGTATTAAAAAACAGCATCCCTTTTAAGATGAGTGTTGCTGTGTGCAGATGTCTTTTTTTTTCTGGCCTCCCTAGAGGAAGGACATGTGACCACGGATGCATGAAGCAATTCAAATTGTCTTCTCAGGAAATTAAAAGGTAGGAAAAAACCACTGAGGACACTGAGGTCAGTCTAAATTCTCTCTATGTTCCATAAATCAATCTCAGTTCTGCACAAAAATTGAGGAAAAAAAAGAACCTTCTGTGTAATTTGGGTAGAGATGATTAAAATGTAATCATAGTTAAATTTGATGTTAGCCTTTAAATCTGATTATTCTAAGCAGACCAAGCGTCTCAGGTTCATCAGCTTGATGAATACAGGAGGTAAATTTGAGGATTACAGGTTGAAAAATTATTTATTTTACTTGTTTGTTTTTTTTCTCCCTTTATCCTACCTGTAGACAACCCAACAAAGAGCATTTTATTCTTCCTGAAAACCATTTCTGGTACATTTTTATAAATGTTTACTTATCAGCACCTTTGGCAAAGATGGGTAAAAAAAAAAACATCTTTAAATAAATTAATCTTTCAAAGCAGTACCATCATTTTCCTCCTTGTGTTATTCAACCTGCACTTAGATTTTTCGCAAAAAGATGTGATACAATTATTTCTATCCCTAACAGTTCCTCTGAGACACGTCTGCACTTTTTAAAGTTTGTTAAATGGTCTTTAACTTTTCCCCTGCTGTGTAAATATGCTGCAAAAAATAAAAGTCAATTCCTGTAACCTGCTCTATAAAAGGGGAAAGACAAGGGAGGGTGTCATTTATATAAGGCAGGTGGGTTTTGATTATTTTAAGCAAGAAAGTGGCTAGAAAAAATATCAATGTCCCTCATCATGTACATATCTGGAGTCAGAGCGATGAATAAAATAGTTCATTCACAATTTGAACATTTCTAAATAAAGATTTCCATTTATTTGATGTTGGTTATCATTTGTATGCAGCCTAGTATAAAGAAAAAGATGTATGTGAGTTTCATACTTAGCAAAAGTGAGGTGAAGAGAGGAGTTGTGCACCAGATCAGCAGGCACAGACTCTGGGTCAATGTACGGTCTGCCTGTGGCGGGTGAGATCAGAGACTCAGACAGGACCACCATGATTCTCTTCCAGTTGGTGCAGGCCACCTGAACAGAGACCAGAGGATGTGAGAATGGAGGAAACATGAAGATCAAAGAACAATCTGTGTAAGTACGAAGAGTATAAAACCCCAAAACCGATAACAGAATCAGAAAGTTCATGTGTTTTTAATGTATTTATTTTTTGGGGGGCGAAAACAGTGCCTGGATGTATAGAGCCATTTTGTTTACAACGTAAAGGAGAACACCAGAGGAAGGAAACCATCAGAGTCTGCGGCTTCAAAATGCCAGGGAAGAACACAACGGATTTTAAGCGACATCTGAGGTGGCAACCTGCTGCCATATGGAAGAAGGTGAGGAACGGGTCGGCCTGTAGTAGTAGGAATGGGTGGGTGGGTGTGAGCGCGCATGCATGTGGATGTGTGTGTATGTGTGCGCCTTCCTGTGCCTGTATCTGTCTCTCTGTCATAGAAAAAAGATGTTCTACTGATACACTGGACATTAATCATTTATAGGGGTGTAAATAATAATCGTTTTGTATCGATGCATCGATCTAACAGCCGACGATCGATGCATCGACACGTCCGCAAGAGAATCGATTCATGTTTTTTTTTTTTTTCGTCCGGTCTATTTTTATCCTTTTGGTCCTGGCCGTAATTCTCCCTCCCGTGCTGCGGTGGCGCTAAACCTATTTTGCCCTCCTACCGCGCTTCCTCGTTATACTCTTACAGCAGTGTGTTGCAGTAAGCTTGACACAGACATTTTTAAATTATGCTCAATATTGAAGCGTGGTCTGTGCTACACACTGTGGGTCTAGTTACGGCCGAGGCGGTGAGGAAGTGGGGGCGAGTTTAGTCCGATGACGGAGGGACATGAGGGCCAAAAAGAGCGGAGATCCAGGTGGAAAAAGGGTCCCAGCGTTCTCGCGCACCTCGCTCTTCTAGCGGGTCAAACTTCACGAGTTGTTTTCCGCAATTTCGGTCATAAAAACAAAACAAGCTGGCCTCCTGTCTGCGACACTGTCTGCGACACTGTCTGCGATCATACAATTTAGGAGAGTTGCAGCGGAGCGTCTGCATAACGATATTACAGTTTTCATTGATTTATTTCAAACTTGAAACTTTGTTTAGCCTGTAAGGTGTAAATAAAAATAAAAAAAATTAAACGATTAATCGAATAGAATCGCATCGTGGTGTATTCTTGAGTATCGAAAATAATTTAATCGTTGGGTCAGGAAATCGATACTGAATCGAATCACCATGATGGATGTGATTTACACCCCTAATCATTTACATTTCTTCCTCCCAACTAGATTCCTGACACAGTGACACCACAGCCAAATCAGAGGTTGGGGAAGGAAGGGAAGTCTGTTTGAGGATGAAGACTTTGTGGATATGATGAAACAAGCCGACAAAAGGTTCAATGTGTGCAGTGTGATATATGCTAAAAAGAGAATCAGTGTGTGAAGAAGTTCTATTCTGCACAGTGTTATATAAATAAAATAGAGAAAAAGAGAAGTTTCATTCTGTGGAGTGTGATATATATGTTAAAAAGAGAAGCAGTGTGTGGAGCAGTTCTATTATTTACAGTGTTGATTAAAATGAGAAAATATTCTAAAATGACTAAATGACAAAAAATGACTAAATATTACTAAGACTACAATAGATTTTTTTCTAATCATACACTCTACCTTTCTCATACCTTATACAGAATAGTTAGGTTATCCTGAGCTATTTTCCATACTTATGCTGCTATATGTTTAGGTTATTGGAGGACATGGGGTCAACTTTTCATCATTCTGCTTCTATCAAACTCTATTACCCTATTTTCATAATTTGTTCATTTACACCCATAACTTTATGTTCTTTATGCTTTTTCTTGTCTTTGTAGCATCATCTGGTCTACAGCAGGATTGAAACATCAGCTGTGTTGCTGCCATCAACTCTGTTTACAGATGTTAGAGATTGCTCTGTTTGTCAGTCTAGTCTTGTTTCTCTTACTGTTGCTACCTGTATGTGCTCTCTTTCATCCTCTGACATGATAGCTGGCTCTGAGTTTGTGTGCCGGGCAGTTTCGTTCCTTGTGCAAACTGCAGAGCTAGTTAACAATGTATATGTCATGATCTTGGCGCTGATGACTGGCTGAATTACTCATTTCATTCACCTGCCTTGCCCAGCCTGTTTTCTCATTACCGTTCATCTTATTCACCTGCTACAGCTTCTATTTAACCAGCCATGTAACCGGTCATCAGCGCCAGATTATTCTCGAGCCAGTGGTGAGACTGTTCTAGTGTATCTTAGTGTTTCTGATTACTAGATCCTGACCTGTTCTGCCTCCCAACCACTGAGCCTGCATGTTCCCGTCTGATCTGTTTGCCTGACCTGTTTTAGGACTCCTGCTAGATTTTGCCTTTTTTCGAGCTTGGAGCTGCTTCCTGTCATCTTATCTGGTTTTCCCTTGGGAACTTCTTCAACCTTTTGATCTCCTGAGCATATCCTCGACACCGGCTTTGGCTTCACCCTCGGCATTATCCTGTCTTCCTTCATCTGCTTGGATCTGATCTACTGCTTGTTCTCCATCCTCTAGGACTACAGTATCTGGAACACTATGGGCAGCACCAGCCGGCTGGAATCTACCTTGTTCTCTGGGCATGGACTGAACTTTAAGACCAGGTTAGTGACTCACACGTTCATAATCAGATTAACGTGGTCACTAACCTGTGTTTTCCTCTTGCAGAGGTTGCTACCTTAGAGGTCTTTGCTGTTACTGTAGATCCGTTGTTTTTAAATAAATGCTTTTGAGGTATCTGACTGTCTGTCTTCCTTGAATACTGGGTCCCATGTTCTGAGCTTCTGCAGAAAGCCGCTCACATTGAGCCTGGTTCTGTTGAAGGTTTCTTCCTGTTAAATGGGTGCTTTGTAAATGAGTGTTTTTTTCTAGACTGAAAGTTTTAATCAATCTGACTACACTGTTTCTGTATCTGTGATAACGTGTTCATTTTTGCAATACAAATAAACTAAAGTGATTTAAATTTTGTCTATCCCAATACAGTGCCTTTATCTTATTTATATTTTATACTTTTTTACCGTTTTGTGTATCTGGATGTCATTGTTTGCATTTCACTTTACTACTACAACACCTGAAATTCCCAATAGGGGGACAAAAAGGGTATTTCTATTTTGCTTGTTTCTATTCTTTAAAATGTATCAGGAAAGTGAGCCTGAAGCTAAATATCAATTTGAAGACTTTTAGACAGTATTTTTTGTAAACTATCAATGTTAACTCAAAAACACACAGTACAGCAAGCGACCGCACCTTGGGAACGTAGCAGTAGATAATCTGGTGTGTATCATCCACTATCAGATGATCCAATTCCCTGAAGGGGATCTGTTCAAATGCCCGAGCCCTTCCAGGAAATTCCAACGCCTCCTTCCCTGAGCACACATCAACAATCCTCTGCTTCCTCGCCTCCTGTTCCTGCTCTTCTCTCCTTCTCTCATTTCCTCCCTTCTTCACTTGCTCTTCACCTGCCAGTTTCTCGGCTGTCTCTTCTTGGATGAGGTCGCCGTTGTTGTAGGCATTGACAGAGGCTCTTGGCTGCACCTGAACGGTGGATAGAGACGGTGGAGAGACGGTGGTACTCTTGGTCCCCCAGCCAGGGAGAAGCGATTTGTGTTTTAAGTCTTGAAAGGGGTAGAGGCTGGGTCTGCCGACATCTTCCCAGTAGGCAATGATGAGCAGAACCATGAACAAAGAGCCCAAGACGAAAGCCACTTGTAGTCCGCGCCATGTTCCCATGACTGTACTGCATTAAAAACTGGGGTTGGTGAAAAAAGGTGGAAGAACTGATTATGTCCATTCCATGGCGGCCCGCAGAATCACAGAAGGAGACACTTCTCGCTTTGCAGCTGCAGCTAAAAGAAAGAGGAAGAGGAAATGAAGCAAAGCAGAATTTCTTAAACTTAGAACCAGAAGTGAAATCTACTGATTAAGATTGCAGATAATACACATGTGCAGTGAAAAAATGATCTGACAGCCACATTACAAAGCAGCTCACTGGAAAATGTATGTAAAAAACTGTCAAATAGACTACTGTAATAATTATTGAAGAGCCAGACATATATCTCAGAAATAACTTTTTTGTTGTGTATATTTGATAGGTTTTGCTAAATCGAATTAAAATAAAAAGGATAAATTGTTCAAAATGCTGCAATAAAAACTAGAAACAGAAGATGTGGATGGTTTTAATATCCTTCTCATGCTGAGTTGTGGGCCTCTGTGGATGCTTCGCTCTTTTTATCTAGATACAGGTCAGACCGGATATTTTGGGTAAATTATCTTACACCTCTGCATGTTCTGTGGTCATTTTGGAGTTTTTGTGTGTTTTTGATCCAGTCCAGCTTTAATAGAACGTTTTTATTTCAGTGTCTTTTAATATTTGCTGTTATTTAGCAGAAATGACACTGTCGCCAACCTGTCATTTACCACTGTGGTGAATTACAGAGAAATCATTTTAGAGTGTTTTTATATCCCCGAGCAGGGTGCTGGATTGCTGGGTCTTTCAACCTGAGCGGACATTGATTCCAAATGTCCAGAGGAATTCTTTGGCACATTTAAAAAAAAAAGTAAAATCACTCTACTCCATATACCATACCATTTACATGTGTGAGTTTGCAAATAACATACTAGGAAAGCAACAACAAATATATAATCCATGTAAATACACACATGTATTTCTTTGTTTTAACATTTCGTGTCAGAATGTTTGGGGAGATTCACATAAAACACACTTTTGATGTGCAGTGTTTAAAGAAAGTTATGTGTATGTACACTTTTGTTGTGTCATTCCCAAAAGAGCATATTGGCCAGAAAGAAAATAAAATAATGTGAAGGTGTGCACAGCTGATCGCTGTGAGCAAATGTTAGTTGCATAATGGTGGTGAAGTGTTTTCTAAAAATCA